GAGCAGAGGTGACCCGAGCCGCCGGGGCCCCCGCCCCCTCCGCCCGGCCCCCCGCCCCCCGCCCCCCGCCTCCGCCGCCCGGTCCCCGCCACAGCTGGGCTTCTTCCCGACCCAAGCCCGTCCCAACGGCGTCCGCTCACCCCGCACTCCGGGCAACAGTAGCCGCAGGTCCCCGGCTAAATGCCGCAGCTGCTCCAGAGGCGGAGCCAGGGAGGGCGCTGCAGGTGCCGCCGCGCTCGCCATCTCGGGAGACGGCCTGGGGCCGGCAGACGGGGCGCCGAGGCTGCTGCTGGGGCCCGGGCCGCACCGCTGCGGCCGCTCCACTTCCGGGCGTCACAGACCCGGGTCCTTTCCGGCAACAAACCGCCCCGCCCGCCCCAGAGACCAGGCCACGCTTCCCCTGGCCCGCCCCCGAGGAGCTACTTCCTTTTTTTATTTTTATTTTGTATTTCAGAGAGGAAGGGAGAGGGGAAAACATTAATAATGAGAATCATTGATCGGCTGCCTCCTGCACACCCCGCACTGGGGATCAGGCTGCAACCCCGGCTTGTGCCCTGACCGACCGGCAATCACACGGTGACCTCCTGGTTCATAGGTCTACGTCTAAGCTTAACCACTGAGCCATACGGGCCAGACTATTTACATTTTTAAAAAATGTTTTTATTGATTTTTTTTTTTTTTTTAGAGAGAGAGAGAGGAAGAGCGAGGGACAGATAGAAACATCCATTGGCTGCCTCCTGCATGCCCCCTACTGGGGATGGAGTCTGCAACCGGGGCATGTGCCCAACTGGGAATTCCACCCAGGACTTCTTGGTGCACAGGATAACCAGCTGGGCCACACCGGCTGGGACGAGTTATTTCCTATTGTCATTCATTTACTGTATTTGATTGATTGAAACTCCCCCTCCCCCACATTGAAGCAGCAGAGGCCCAGCCTGCGGTTAAAGCAGACTGAGAGCTAATAGTGCAAGGGTAGTCAGGGTCAGGTCCAAGTTCACACCGGTTCTCCGACTCTAAAGTGGCACCCTTGACTGCTGAGTTCCAGACACTGTGCTCGGTACTTTACATGAGTTAGCCCTAAAAACACACTGGGCCTCAGATACACCCATACACACCCAGCCCCCGTCCTCTGCCCTTCACAGAAGCAAATCAACCCTTTGCCTTCTTGGGGAAGGAAGGAATCATAGCATCATTTAGAGACTCCTCTGCAAGTCCATTCTGCAGGAGTCAGTAGTGGGTAATCACCCCAACCCCTAGGCAGCCAAGGAGCAGCAGCTCCCTGAAGCTTGCCCACCAGGATTGGCCTTCCACCCGCTGCTGGGGCAGAGGCCTGGGCGACAGAGGTGGATGGTGAGACATGGCCTTCAGGAGCTCAGGTGGCTTTTTAACTGCACTGTAAAGGTTACAAGCTCCCTGGAGTTCAGTGTCCATACACGATGAATGAGAACAGGTGTCAACAGTGTCAACCAGGTCCGCAAAGGGGAGAAGAAAAAAGCTAGAGTGCCATATGTCCTCTGAAGAAAGTAGCAGGCATAAATCTGCCAGATGTACAGCAGTGACACAAGAAGGTAAACAGGAATAATTTTCAAGTATTTTCCTTGACGGAGATGAGACCTGAAGTTGTGACCATAGCACCGCTGCAGCAAGCTCCAACACAGGTAAGCCATCAAGGGGATGTTGAAAAATGCCAACTGGAAAGAGGAGAACAGCATCATTAGTTTACTAGCAAGCCCTCAGAGGAGTTGGGGCCAGGGCTCACCAATACATTAGGTGGCTCCTAAGAATATGCTGCTTTCCCTCTTGGGGGTTAACTCTCTGATTCTTTATGCTTCAATCACACTTGCTTATATCACAACAGTTGACTTATGGTTAGTTGTATATTTGGGCCTGTATCCTTTCATTCATTTTAAAGGCAAGTATCATTTCACTTATCTTGAAGACCTCGATAATGTTTAAGGAGGAAATGAATTGAATATGTATGCATACACACACTCACATGCTTTTTTGGCAGAGGGAGGGGGTTACTTGGGTATCAATATTTTTTTAATCTCTGTATTTTTATTTGAAGTACCATGATGATTACTGGAATCCAGGTTTAGCTGCTGTACCATTCATTCATCATCCATTATGTGGCAAGCCCTGTGCAACACTTTAGGCCTGGGACATACTGGTAAGCCAGTCAGAAAAGATGCATTATAGAGCTTGCATTCTAACAGGGAGAACCTCCCCCATTCTAACAGGGAAATTAGTTAATTACAGATTTTGAGAAATTCTATAAAGAAAATAAGAGGGTAAATGGCAGATGAACTCTCTGAGGCCTGAAGTACAGGAATGAGTCAATGGGAGGAAGTGCATTCCTGGCAGAAGGATCAAATGAAAAGCCCAGAGGTAGGTGAGGTCTTGGCCTATTTAAAGCCAATGGCCTAAAACATGATGAGCCAGGTGGAAATTTGGGCAATCAGCAGGACCCCGATCATGTCACTGCTCTGCTTAAAGCAGAAGTGGGGAACGTCCAGCCTGCAGGTCGTATAAGGCCTGTGAAATCATTTGGTCTGGCCCTGCCAAGGCCTTAGAGGTGAGTTAAATGTTTGACCAAACATAGCAGGCTAATTTTTAAGGTAATAATTTTGCATGGCCCTGACTTAAATTAGGGTGGTAATAATGAGATGGAGAGAAGTGGTGGATTCAAGATATATATAGGAGACAGAGCAAACAAGGTATTACTTGCTAGATAGAATATGAGAGAAGGGGAAGGATTGGAGATATATCTTAAAGAAACTGGGTAAATTGTGGAGCCATTTAGTAAAACTGAAATTAACTAGAGAGGAACAAATTTGGGGGTAGAAATTAAAGGTCCTATTAAAGGTATACTTTTAAATTGAGATGCTTGTTAGATATCTAAGGGAAGACGAGAAGTGACAGCTGGATATATAGGCACTTAGAGTGCAGAGAAGAGGTCTAGATCAGAGATATAGATTTGGGAGTCATGAGCCTAGATGTAGTTAAGATCCATCATTAATGTACGACTATTCAAGTATGAATATATACCCACCCTTTGGTAAGGTTCAGGTTTTACTTGGTATAAGAGTGCTCCTGAGAGACAACCTCCATTTACATAACAAAAAACTGAACTGGACCCAGACGTATACACATAGGAAATGCAGCTTTACAGAGAACGTTCGGGCCTATGGCCAGTTTGCAGAGGTCTTCCCTATTTGTTTATCTCTAATCCTGCTGATCATGTTTACTGCCCTGTTTGAACATTGTTCAAACTCATTTTGAACAATGTTTTTGGATCTCTTCCAAAACTCCAGATCATTACCTCCAGATTTTGGTCGATTAGTCCCCTTAAGTGAGTAAAATAAATGGTTAGGTAAATATCTTTCAAACCTATTTATAGAGATTTGCTATGGGTCAGGGTTTTGTTTGCGTGTGTGTTTGTTTTAAAGGTATTTCGATCAAAGTGTAAATCAAATGTATCAGTGTTTCCAAAGCAAGTATACTAATAAGACATTACTAGGAAACCCAGGGCTAGTTTTGCCCAGTGCAGCTTCCAGTGGTTAACTGAATACTTTTCTTATATGTGTCATTTTCCTTTCCTCCTTCTGAAATATTTTCCTGCTTCATTTTCATAATCAATTTTGGTTTAATCAGAAGTCTATCATTTATTCTACCATAAATCCCTTATTTCATTCTTTTTGTCAATAAAAAGCACGGTGAAACAAGCAACAGAAACCAAAACCTCTTTCCCCTCTTATAAACCCTGTCTACCAAAAATGTATTTTAGATGTTTACATGAGAATGGTGGAAGAGCTTAGGCAGTACTCAAAAGGCAAACAAAATACCAGTTATTAAATACTGCCTGCCAGTAAGTTAGGAAACATGATCTATGGCAGTGATGGCGAACCTTTTGAGCTGGGCGTGTCAGCATTTTGAAAAACCCTAACTTAACTCTGGTGCCGTGTCACATATAGAAATTTTTTGATATTTGCAACCAGAGTAAAACAAAGATTTATATTTTTGATATTTATTTTATATATTTAAATGCCATTTAACAAAGAAAAATCAACCCAAAAAATGAGTTCGCGTGTCACCTCTGACACGCGTGTCATAGGTTCGCCATCACTGATCTATGGTATCTAATTTGGGATTTTGAATTTAATTCTTAAGTGTTACACAATTAGTCTGACAAAGTCAAGATGTTCTTAAGTTGCTTTTCTGACTTCTTACCTGGAGAATTCCAACCACAAACGTTAAACTGCCTTGTAGGAAACGCCCATCAACAAAGATCCCAAAGGAAAAGCAGCAACCCATTTTGCCTTTAGTAATTTCACCAATGAACCATGGTCCTGAAGAAGCAGTGGAGAGGGAAGATTAAATAACTATGACTCTCATTACATACATCACAAGATGCATTTGCAGGAATAACGAAGAAATATGAGGCTAGTCATCTATAAGCATTTTATTTACATAGCTTTTTTTTCTTTGCTAATCTCTATGCTGCACCCGATATCCTAGCTAACCAACTATTTGCTCCTTTACTCCATATTTCTCTGGATTATGAAATCGTCTGAGTACATACTATAACTGGACAAGATATGTAGCTTGTAATTCCAGAAATATACAGGAGTGTATTCACAAATCTTAGGAGATTCTGTTGCAGTAATTACGTCAATACAATTCATTAACATTTCCTTTAAGAAGCAAAGAGGTATTCCTCAAAAGTTAATCTTCTAGATGACTGAGATTTACTCATTTAAGCTATACAACTTCAACCACTTTCATCTTTCTAAAATGTACTTCTCTTTATTACTAATGTTAATGATTATTAATATTTTACCTTTTCTTGCTGATCCATAGTCATTACTTTATACATCAACTATATAGGCAGGGTGAACATGAACAGAATTTAACTTGCTTTTTTATTTTTTCACCTATAATACCAGAATGACTTTTCTCTCCTCCTCCCTACTATTATTTACTGCCCATTCTCAGTATGCAGGTGCCTGGAACTACTATATGTAAAGAGTGATTAAGGGACTGTCAGACTCCCTTTCTTAAAATGCAATACCATAATTTGCTGGTAAGACTAGACTTCAGGTTTTAAAAAGTCATAGGTACTTTTCTCAGGCATATTATTAATAAACTCCATTAGATACATATTCATCTAAAAAAGTGTTTTCCCTTGAAGTTTCAACTTTTAAAAATGAAGCAACTTCTGCCCTCTTCATGTTTTCTTTCATAGCCAGGAACCAAATCACTTGCTTTGTCTTCCAGTGTAAGACATGTGTCCAAATCAGCTTCAACAAACAAGAAAACTGACTTCCAAAGGGGAATCTGCTATAGCTTGTTATATAGTAGTACTAGAGGCCCTATGCACGAAATTCGTGCAAGGGGCTCGGCCCTTGCAGCCCAGCTTCGTCTGCAAGGTTGTCCGGATGGTCGTTCTGCCGTTTGGTCTAATTAGCATATTAGCTCTTTATTATATAGGATGGTAAAGTGTCATATTTTTTATTTTACTACTTTGTGTTCTCTGGTGGGATAAAAGTGTAAAACAAAGACTAAGCTACAAATAGCCTAATTTATTTTTAGTCAGTAAGGTACATTAGTAAGAAGCTTAAAAAAACACACAACTCAGTGCTTTCTACTTCCATAAGTGGTTAAGTGACTTTATAAGTATTGGGTATAATAATTAATATAACAGAAGAGTTTCGGATATAACTAAACTCACTGCTCATCTCAGTTTCTTTTCTTTTTTAGGAGCAACACATTAATAAATTATTCACTGAACTATATGCTAGGCATTGTTCTTAGTGGTGGACATAAAGGTGAACAAGAGAGAAAAGACATCAATGGATATTCTAATAAGAGAAAAGATGATGAACACAGAAGATAATCATAAATTCTGATAAAGTAATGAAGGAAATAAAAAGCATGATGAAATAGAGGATAAAACTTGAAGGTAGTCAAAAAAGGCTGCTCTGAAGAGATGGCAATTAAGTTGAACTATCTCCTATTAAGTTTCTACACAGATTCTGCAATGGTTTCCTTAGCACTCTTAAGTAAACTAAATGTCCCTTAAACATGTTAAGAAACAATTTTATTTCCCAAGACCATATCCAAGGAAATGACTTATGAAGGAACCATGGGCCGTTTGTTATGCTCTACAGAGCCTAAATGACTCTACTGATTGCTCCACAATCTCAGGTTTCCTAATTGACTTACCCAGCACTGTATATAAAGTCAGGAACAAGACAAAATAGTAGAAGATGTTTATTTTGCTCAAGACATGAAGGGAAAATGAGGTCAAATTTATAAATCCTGGAGGTCCTAAAGAGAATAAATTTGAAAAATCCAATGAACATACGCAAAGTTTAATTTCTTTATAACATTTTCTAGAAGACTTTCATGGGCTATCCTATATATTCAGCAAATCTGTTGTTATATGGTAACTATACAGATGACACCACTTTAAATTTATAAGTTGGTGGGAATCCTGATGAGCCAATTCACTTAGAATTGCAGAGGGTGAGAAATTCAAAGCAATGGTATAGTTGTGAGGAGTGTGCATGCGCACACACACTTTAAAATGACTGAAAACAATATAGAAATACCTGCCAGGGGAGGGCTACAAGGGGTCACTGGGGAAAAATGGGGGACATATATAATACTTTCAAAAATAAAGATTTTTAAAAAAGAAAGACCTACCAGAGGATGATACTAGTTTATCTTCATGTGTGTTTGAAATACAAATCTATACTCAAGTCTTTGTTTTCTAGGGGATTTAGTGTCCAAATGTACAAACTTCCAAAAGGTATGTCAAAATATATCAAAGGCATATCAAAGAAATACATTTCTCCAGTCTAATCTTAAGTATGAGTACCTGTTCAAATATTCCTTCCCCATATGTGATACAACTCTTAACTCCCAGCTATCCTCTTACTCCAACTGAAAGGGATCCATAAAGCTCTCCAAATGAGCATCTCTTAAAATAAAGTACCAAAAAGCCCAAGTCTAAGGGCTTCACCCAGAGAAGGTCCATTCTGTGGCCACAGACTAAGTATCCCAGATCCTCAACCCCAGCCAGCCATTCCACTCATTATGTGGCTGATCATAAATCAGGCAGCAGAAGACTATGATAGGAAGCTCAGTGCACACTGAGCAATCTTAGAGGTGGAAAGTATTTAGAAAACTGATCCCAATGGTAAGACAGCCTGATGTAAGTTAATTAGTATGTCTTTCTTCACAGGCTAGCATATAACATCATTCAGCCTGCTGACAGTTAATTTCATACAAAACGTGATAATGTATAACTTTTCTCCCTTTGTGTATTACACACTTGCTACTCATTCCTGTCTCAGCTTCCTTCTTGTCCTAGCCTGGTACTTCTCAAAGTATTAATACATATCCACCTATAATAATAATTATCGGTGGATATTTATTATCTACACTAATAAAAGAGAAACATGCAAATTGGTGTCACTCCACTTTAGACTTCAAGCAATGAATCAGGATGACTATACAAATTCACCCAACAAAGAGGCAGTTAATGAAAATACTCAGGCCCAGGTGAAGACTGAAGGCTCTGGCCCGAGCAAAGACTGAAGACTGAAGACGACTGAAGAGGCTTGCCTTCTCCACTGTGGCCGGAGCAAAGGCCTGGGTCCCGGGTGCCAGAGGAAAACCGGTGCCGGCAGCCAGGGGAAGGAAGGCCTATTGCACAAATCTCTTCGTGCAACGGGCCTCTAGTAAATAAATAATCCTTTAACCTTAGAGGCAGCTATACTTCAGACTTCAAGCAATGATTCTCTCCTTTGGCTGCACATTAGAATAACCTGGGGGAACTTTTAGAAAATACTCAGGCCCAGGTCTCACCCTCCAGAGATTCTGATTTAATTGACCTTGGGGAGAGGGGGAGCTTAGGCAGCAATCCAGGTGATTCTAAGTAGCCTAAGAAATACAGTGGGGCCTTGACTTACGAGTGTCCCGACTAACGAGTTTTTCGAGATACGAGCCGTCTCTCGGCCGATTTTTTGCTTTGAGTTGCGAGCTAAAATTCGGGTTACGGGCCAGCTTCAGATACCCCACCGCTAGTTGGCACAGCGAACGTCACAGTGAACGCCACAACATCAGCCCAGCATCACGTGTCTCACTCGTTCACTTTAAGATTTGACATACGAGTAATTTGAGTTACGAGCTCCGTCACGGAACGAATTAAACTCGTAAGTCAAGGCCCCACTGTATTGCTTTACCCATGCTTCTCAGCCTTAACTGCATATTGAAACCAGAGAGCTTCAAAAGCTACTGATGTTTAGGTCCTATCTCTACAGAGATTGTGATGTAGTAATTGGTACTCTGTAGACAGTGAGATTTTAAGTTCCCCATGGAATTCTAAAGTGTAGTCAAAGTTGAGAAGTGTTGTTTAAAGAAAAGAACTGACCTGGGGCCCTAGCCAGTTTGGCTCTGTGGATAGAGCATCGGCCTGCGAACCGAAGGGTTCCGAATTCAATTCCGGTCAAGAGCACATACCTCTGGTGCAGGCTCCTCCCCTAGTTAGGTGTGTGCAGGAGGTAACCAATCTATGTGTTTCTCTCACATCAACATTCCTCTCTGTCTTTCCCTCTCTCTTCCACTCTCCCTAAGAATCAATGGAACAATGTCCTTGGGTGAGAATTAAAAATAAAAAAACTGACCTGGGATTGGGAGACATGGGTTTTAAGTCTCTCCTCTGTCTCTTGCTAGCTATGACATTTTGGACAATCTATATAACCTCTCGAATCCTTGGTTTTCTAATGTTTAAAATGGGGACAATAATTCCTACCTCTCAGGATTGTAAGAATTAAGTGAGATAATGCAGGTAAAATATGTTGTAAATTTTACATAACTACACAAAGATATTGGTATTCCCACATAATGAGATTGGGGTCCTTCCTCAACTATTTACTTATGTACATTATGTGCAAAATATATGTGGGCAATAATGTTTCTGGAACTTTTTCATAGAAGTTTCTCTCTCTCTCTCTCTCTCTCTCTCTCTCTCTCTATATATATATATATATATATGCAGGAAAACATTCAGTAGTGCACTACCTATTCAGCTAACCATGTTACTGTTTAGTCATTACTACAGTTCTCCCCTCCCCCATAATCAGTCCCTGACCTCAGCAATTTCACCCAAGCCAAGAAGAGATAAGGAAAGTTTAATTTGACAAGTATTTACTGTCTATTATGCACCAACTCAGCGCTGGGTGCTGTGGAAAACAAACAAGAAGTAGAAAACAAAGGCTCCTGCATTGAGGAACTTAGAGTTTGGCTGAGGAGAAAATGTATATACATTTGAAGTGGTTATGTAAAGCCAAGTGATTGGCTAATTATGTATCAATTAATCGTCAGGAAGGACTATAGGGACTTAGAGAAACAAGAGCTCATTATGACCTGAAATGGTTGGAGAAAATGGTATGGAAAAAGTGGTTTTGAGATGAGCCCTAAAGGAGGCTAAGATTAGACAAGTTTAGGAAAACAATTTAAATTAGAAATAATGACCTGGGCAAAAATGCAGAAGCAGAAATGTGCATGGTATGAACAGTGAATAATCTAGGTAACTGGGCGAAAATATGGCTAGTTTGGTAACACTTCAATGTCTAGTAGAGATGTTTGGCAACTTTGAGCTATATTGTAATTTTTCCCCCCCATTCTGGTTGAGCCTCATGTAGCAGCAAGTGATTAAAGGTTTTGGTTTTTGTTGGATTTTTTTTTTAAGCTAGAGTACTGTGGAAAATGTGTGGTAGTTGAAAGGGTATACCTCACAGAGCTCAGGCAAAGACAATTTATATTTATACTCATATTTATCATTTGGCAATAGTGAGGACATTACGTACTACTTTAAAATAAAGTCTTCTAAGAACGAAAGAAACCATGACTGACCTTTAAGCTCTAGATATCTTTGATGCCTGTAAATAATGAGAACGAAGAGCTGGATCAGCACAATCAGCACAAACAGGACCCGGGCCTGCAGAGAAGTAGGTGTTACTGTGAAACAGATACATGGGCACAGCTCTGGTGAAGATTTTTAAAATGGCCTCATTAACAAAAATGAAAATGACATCATTAGCAGGAATGACTATGTAAGAAAAATATGTAGCCAAAGAAAATCAAATATCTGATCAAAAAAAAAAATTATAAGCTGCCTCAGCATTACTCTTTCAGAATTTGGATACTTACACCATGTTGAAACCAAGTAATTTTATACAGATATAAAAAATGATCACATTAAAATAGTCCATTTTCATTGTTATAGGAGAAGCATACTTTGTTTTGTTTTATTTAAAATTGTATAAGAATTGCCCTAGCCAGTTTGGCTCAGTGGATAGAGTGTCGGCCTGCAGACTGAAGGGTCCCAGGTTCGATTCTGGTCAAGGGCACATGTCCAGGTTGCGGGCTCTATCCCCAGTAGGGGTCATACAAGAGGCAGCCAATCAATGGTTTTCTCTTATCATTGATGTTTCTATCTCTCTCTCCCTCTCCCTTCCTCTTTGAAATCAATTTTAAAAATTGTATAATAAAAAAAACCAGTGTACAGTACACTGCAGCTGAGTGAACAGAGACTGCACTTTCTTTTTGCTTTCTCCATCAAGAAGTCATTCACTTGGTGATTAACTAACAGTAAAGAAATGTAATTTAGATCCTTGTTTCTCAAAGGTCATCTTTGGAATCATCTTGAGCTTGTTAGGAATGCAGAACCTCAGGCCCCACCTCAGCCCTACTGATTAGAATATGCCTTTTATTAATATTCCCAGATAATTCATAGAACATCAACGTTTTCAAAGCCTGATCTAAGTAGTTATTAAAAATCCCCAAAAGAAAAATGACACAAAATTTTTGTAAAAATTAGATACAAATACCCATTAGTCATAGTTTTACACAACACAATCACACAAGTAATAAAAGCCAATTAAAATAATAATCAATTCACAGTTTAAGTGTGAGGAGGTGAAATTAAAGGAGGTTTAAATTTTCTTCTTAACATTGTAGTGTATATCTTTTGAAGATTTTATGTTAATACCCAGGATAGATGAGATCTGAGGGAAATAGAGTATAAATTGCCACAGCTTCTCTGGAACACTATTTGACAGTGTATATTAAAAACTAAGAAAATATATATACTCATTTATTTGCTCAAGAAATCTTTACTGAGGGCCTACTCGGTGTTAGGCATACCAGATAAAGATCCCTGCCTTCATAGGGCTTATGTTTTACTAAGGGAGGATAGACAAAAAACAAAAACAAAAAAACAATGAATATAATAAATAATAAGTAATTTATGTAATTATATAATAAGTAAAGTTATATAGAATAATGTGTCAACTCTTTCACCTAGCAATTCACTTCTAGGAATTTATCCCCAAAACTACTATATGCAAAAACTTAGATACTGCCGAAACCGGTTTGGCTCAGTGGATAGAGCGTCGGCCTGCGGACTGAAAGGTCCCAGGTTCGATTCCGGTCAAGGGCATGTACTTGGGTTGCGGGCACATCCCCAGTGGGAGATGTGCAGGAGGCAGCTGATCGATGTTTCTCTCTCATCGATGTTTCTAACTCTCTATCTCTCTCCCTTCCTCTCTGTAAAAAATCAATAAAATATATTTTAAAAAAAACAAAAAAAAAAAACCTTAGATACAAGCAGTATTTATATAGTAGAGGAAAAAATTGGAAACACCCAGCAATAGGGAAATGCTTACCCCTGCTGAGAGTAAGTGTTTCCTACAATCTCTGTCTGACTCATTTCTGTAGTAAGACAGGGATGCTTGGTCTCAAACATTTAAAAAAAAAATGCTTAAGGTGTATCTATGACAATATAATGCAGTCAATAACATCATGTTATTAAATAATATAAATTGATATAAGATACTAGTAAAACAAATTCCTCCATGGGAAAAATCAGAGAGCAAAAGAGAACTAAAAGTTTACTTACTATTTTATACTAAAAACTCATATACAAATGTATATGAGAGAAAACAGAGTATCATAATGACAAATACAATGGTTAAAATGGGTAGTGTGATCAAAGAATGATGTTGGAATGGTTTCACTTTATTTCTAAAATTTCCAAGTCTTCTACATTTAGCACATATTGTTTGTTGTGTAGGACACACAGTCCCTATAATTCCTTTAGTTATCCTGGTTTAATGGCATTGGTTAGAGACAGATCCCAAAACAGGTATTACTTGTCTATGCCTTTCAACTTAAAAACATTTTATTCTTCTAGATGAATAACTAAACTTTTCTTTTTTATAAGGTTCAGCTTTCTCATCACATGATTATTTATGATTTTGGACCTACCAAATCCAGTAGAAACACACACATCATTAGGTTGAATTTACTCACCACCATGCAGTGATCTGTAAGAAGAATAAAAGATACTAGAGGGTCAAATCTGAGCTGATTATCCTCTTGAAGAGAAAATATGTGGTGAACACTCTTACTTCTTCCAGCAGAATCCTAGTTAGAAGCAGAGCAGAGAAGAAACTATCATGCTACTTTTCTTTTTCATTTATTTTTTATTCTTCCTACAAGCACTTTTACATAAAACCTTGTAATTCTAGATTTAAATTGGAAATATCTTTAGAACCTTGTAATTCTAGATTTAAATTGGAAATGTCACCATGTTCTCACAATATATTTTCTTTTTTAAAAAAAAATCTATATTTCCCTATGTTCACTGAAAAGGCCTAGAAATAACAACAAACCCAATAGCTGTGAACTAGCTGGGCTAGTGCCAATTGTGGTCTCAAAGTATCATTTTTCACTATAAAGAACCAGTGCTCTTTAGAAAAATGGCTGATTCCAGTTCTTGAGTAAGAAATGCATAAGAAGGGCTTGGACTATCTTGTCATATGGGAAAGCAAAACAAAAAACAAAAACTAACAAAGACTATTAGGATTGTATCAAAGGACTTAGTGACCAATTTGGAGATGTTCCCACTAGCCAAAGATGGAACAATTTGAGCATCAAAAAGAATAAATGCAATGGATTAAAACATGCTACATATGAATTTTAAAATGTTGCATTCATAATGATTCTAAAACTGGAAGACTCATATCATTATCTTTGGCAGATGCTAAAGAACAACTCATTATTCTGAACACTGATTTAGAAAAGGGAGGTGGGGGAAGAATTAAGAATTTATCCTGCAGATATATCTCCTAGGACAATGGAAACTAAAGAGAAAATAAACAAATTGAACTACATCAAAATAAAAAGCTTCTGCACAGCAAAAGAAACCATCAACAAAACAACAAGAAAGACCATTGCATGGGAGAACATATTTGCCAATGTTACATCTGATAAAGGTTTAATCTACATTTATAGGGAACTCATACAACTTAACAAAAGAAAGATAAGCAATCCAATAAAAAACGGGCAAAGGACCTAAATAGACACTTTTCGGAAGTGGACATACAGAAGGCCAAGAGACATAGGAAAATATGTTCAAAATCACTAATCATCCGAGAGATGCAAATCAAAACAACAATTAGGTACCATCTCACACCTGTCAGAATGGCTATCATCAACAAATCAACAAACGACAAGTGCTGGAGAGGATGTGGAGAAAAGTACACTGCTGGTGGGAATGCAGACTGGTGCAGCCTCTGTGGAAAACATTATGGAGTTTCCTCAAAAAATTAAAAATGGAACTCCCATTTGACCCAGTAATACCACTTCTAGGAATATATCCCAAGAAATCAGAAACACTAATCAGAAAGGATATATGCACCCCTATATTACAATAGCTAAGATTTGGAAACAGCCTAAGTGCCCATCAGCAGATGAATGGATTAGAAAACTGTGGTACATCTACACAATGGAATACTAAGCTGCTGTAAAAAGGAAAGAATTCTTACCATTTGCAACAGCATGGATGGACTGAAGAACACTACACTAAGCAAAATAAGCCAGTTGGAGAAAGATAAGATCTCCCTCATTTGTGGAATATAATGAACAACATAAACTGATGCACAAAAATAGATTCAGAGACAGAAAAACATCAAACAGACCGTCAAACCTCAGAGGGAAGGCAAAGGAGGTTGGGGGGGGGGGGGGCGGTAAGAGATCAACCAAAGGCCTTGTATCCTTGCATATGAGCATGACCAATGGACACAGACAATAGGGGGGTGAGGGCATTTGATGTGGGTGTGGGTGGCCGGGGAGAGGTCAATGGGGGAAAAAGGAGACATGTAATACTTTGAACAATAAAGAATTAAAAAAAAAAAAGAAAGCATTTATCCTGTCTTTCTTGTATGAACTCTGTATCTGGGTACCAAATAGATAAGAGAAATGTTTTCTTTATAGACCTATTCTAACTAATACTCCTATAATAAGGAGTAGCAATTTGAATATCATCATTTTATAAATCTAATGAAATAATGGATCTAGGCAAAGATAATCAATAGCTGCTGGAAATCCTTCAATGAAAAGCTGATTGGATACTTCCCAATGAATGGAGGGATAAGCCAGCAGTTTGCTGGAGCTGGCTTGACTGACTCACAGAACCAGTTGTTAAATTTTCAGGAATTTTGCAAGCCAATTGATGTTGTGTTGGTAGGAATATTTATATCATGGAAACTGGTATAAATCAGAGAAATGCTATGAAGCAGCTCCCACTCCAAACATCCTCCAAGTTGGTTGTTAAATATTTATCAGCACATCATTAGATAAGGTTAACAATACCTGAATACACTGATCAATCTTAACCTTACTAACAAAGAGATGACCAGATATTATAGTCTTCTGGTGAAAGAATAAAACACCAAATGAAGTATTCTTGCTAAAAAAAAAAAAGACTCAAATCAAAAAGCAAAAAATCTAGAACACAGGAAATTCTACAGGATAAAAGACCCAGTTTCCAAAGAAAATATATTGCAAAGGAAAAAACAGGAGGGGTGAGAGACAGAAGAGTCAAATCAGCTAAATGCAATATTTGAGCCTTGTTTGGATTCTGATTTGAATCAACTAAATGCAATGTATAGAGAGAAACATATGACAAATTGGGAAAACTGAACACTAGCTGGATGGTTTGATATTAAGAAATTACTGTTAATTTTTCAGGTATAATATGGTATTATGGTTACTTTTTTTTAATGGTTACATTAAAAAATAGTCCTCATCTTTTAGTAAATCATACTGACATATTTACATATAAAATGACATCATGGTGCAGGAAGGAGAGACGTGGATGGGATATAGATGAAAAAAGACTGGTCATGAGTTGATAACTATTTAATTGGCTGATGGATACATGGGAATTCATTATAGTATTAACTCTTTCATATATTTTTTAAATTAGCCATCATACAAAAATTTTTATTTTTTTTCCTTTTATTAAGGTATTATTATATATGTGCCTTTATCCCCTCATTGTCCCCTTACCCCCCCCCCCCCACTCATGCCTTCACCCCTCTGTTGCCTGTGTCCATTGGTTACGCTTATTATATTCATGCATACAAGTCCTTTGGTTGATCTCTCTCCCTTACCCACACCCTCCCCTACCTTCCCTCTGAGGTTTGACGGTCTGATCGATGCTTCTCTGTCTCTGGATCTGTTTTTGTTCTTCTGTTTATGTTGTCCATTATATTCCACAAATGAGTGAGATCATGTAATATTTATCCTTCTCTGACTGGCTTATATCGCTCAGCATAATGCTCATACAAAAGTTTTTAAATAGTGAAAAGAAGCTTTGCTGGCATTTATCAAACTATACTCCAAATATTCTTACTTTCAGTGATAAGTTCTTGTTTTAAAGCAGAGATTTTCTTTAATTGAGATACAGAAATTTCTAGTCTTTAAATTGGCAAGGTAGATACAACAGTCTAAAATACTGTCCTCAACCTTTAATGCACATCGGGATCACCTGGAGGGATTGACTGTTAAGATTGCCGGCTCCCATCTCGTTTCTGGTTCATAGGTTTGAGAAGGAAACTGAGAGTTAGCATTTCTTACAATTTCCCAGGTGGTGTTGATGCTACTAATCCAGGAACCACACTGAGAATTGATCTGAGAATGTTTGCTGGTAGGCTGCCTGGAACCTATATTTAATGAATATAGTAAGTAGGTAAAATACAATATAATAAATTGATGTGATCTCTTATTAAAAATTGTTTTTATTACTTTTAAAGAGAAAGGGAGAGGAGAGAAAGAAGAGAGGGAAACATCGATGTGAGAGAGAAATATCAATCAGTTTGCCTTCTTTATGCACCCCAACTGGGGACCAAACCCACAACCTGGGCACATGCCCTGACCAGGAATCAAACTGGCAAAGCTTCAGTGCACAGGACGACACTCAACTGAGCCACACCGGCCAGATTCTCACAGATTTTTCTCTCAGACTTATCTATATAGCATGACGTATTTGAAAGGACATAATGTTCACCAAGCCAGTGTGGCTCAGTGGTTGAGTGTTGACCTAAGAACTTGGAGGTCAAGGTTTGGTTCCTGGTCAGGGCACATGCCCCAGTTGTGGGCTCAATCCCCAATGGTGGCATGCAGGAAGCAGACGATCAGTGATTCATTAATGTTTCTATCTGTCTTTCCCTCTTCCTTCCTGTCTGAAGTCAATAAAAATATATTTATATTTTTAAAAAGGACATAATGTTCCCATTGATGAATGAGGGGACCAGGCCCCCTGTTTTAAGTTATAACACATAGACAGAAAACAGATCACTGGTTGCCTGGAAATGAGAGCGGAAAAGAGGTAGTTACAAAAGGGCACAAGAACACTTTTGAGGGTGATGTATCATATTGATTGTAGTAATGGTTTCAAGGATGTGTATGTATGTCAAAACTTACCAAATTGTATTCTTTATGTTTTATATGTAAATTATACCTAGAGAATGTTGCAAGAAATGTTAAAGATATAAAAAGTATAGTGATTTCACATTTTTACTAAGGATTCAGACAGATAACCAGAAATATTTCAAGAAATATGAATAAGGTTTCTTTCTCATAAATCTACAGAAGCTGAGATTCTGGAGCAATCCAAGGATTTGAGAGTTCCCCATTCCTACAGTGAGCAGATCTCCTATGGTTGCTCCTACTTCTTCCCCATGACACAGGGAATATTCTAGTTGCACTCATACCTTCAAGCCTTTTTTAAATGACCAACTCCTAATATGAAAGCCATTAAGAGTTCATCCCCAGCCATCCCGCCTTCCACATCCTCCCTGTGCTCCTTTTTCCTCCTAAGCAGAACACTTCAAAGACAGTGACATTGTAAAGTGCCTTCTCTTGTTCCTTATCTATGAATCGGGGATAAAGCTACCCAGCATACAGGATTATGATATGGATAAAGTAAAAAATTTAAGTGCCTGGCATCAGGGCTCAATAAACAGCTCCTTCCTGCTCAAAATCCTTCTCTGTGACCAAAAAAAAGTAATGAAAATAATTTCATGTGTTTTCTGAAGGATTACTTCATGTTTCAAACCAAGTTAATATTAAAAGATTTAACAGTTAAAAACTGTCATCAAACCATAAAGTTATAGATATTGATGGATTTTTTTTAGAAAATAATTTCTGAGCACAATCTATCCCAGGGGTCCTCAAACTACGGCCCGCGGGCCACATGCAAATACAAATATTGTATTTGTTCCCGTTTTGTTTTTTTTACTTCAAAATAAGATATGTGCAGTGTGCATAGGAATTTGTTCATAGTTTTTTTTTAAACTATAGTCCGGCCCTCCAACGGTCTGAAGGACAGTGAACTGGCCCCCTGTTTAAAAAGTTTGAGGACCCCTGATCTATCCCTTAAAGAGTTTCATAAGGTTGATGAAACAGCTCTATTTTGGTAACAATGATCACTGTCTACTCTGGCAGGTGCTAGTGAATTAAATGCTTGCCAGGTTAAATCAGAGCAATGCCAGGAAGACAATTACTGCACATGCTATGAATGCATACCCCCAAATAAAAAAAAATCCTTTATTGCCTTGAAAATTTGCTGTCCTAGAGCTTTCAAAATAATGACACAATTTTCCTGTATTTGGAGATAGCAATCAAAGGCATGGATACATAAATACATGTTTTCTGACTTACTCTATTATCTTTTGGTATATTGGTGAATTTTTCTCCCATTATTAAAAGACACTGGGGCCACAGTTGAAAAAAAACAAAAGAATGATTCCCTGAAGTTAGAAAAAGGGGGGACTGTGGCCAGTAGTTGCACACTCCTCTTCTCCTCTACTCAGTTTTTAGTCTAAAAGTAGAATTACTCCTGAGTGCACATTTTCAGAACATAACAAATCCAATGCATCCAAATTTTTATTAAACTTAGTTTCATCTTTACCAACTGACTGCAAAACCCCCCTTCCCCCCCGCCAAATCGGAGTTCAGTGTGGTTACAGTCTAATCACATTTATATAGCGAATTGAAAATTACTAACTTACCTGGACAATTACTTCTATATTATGTGTACTATTAATGTAGTTCCTTGGGTTCCACTTCAGTGTGAAAATAGGACCAGACAAATGAGTAGCTTCCCCTAAATGAACTCCATCGATCTTAACAGTGACAGAAGTAATGGAGGATGAGGAAAAGGCCAAGACTCTGAAATGAAAGCATATATAAACAGGTTTTAGGTATTTGTCACTGTTTTTATAAAGGAGAATAACCTATTAAAACCTGAAAAGATAAAAGTATAGGCAGAATCATGACATGGTACTATTGTAGGGACCACTATTCATATAATTTGGTTCTTTCTGAATGGTGGCTTTTGGAGTTACATAATTCAGCAAACCTGAACTGGTGAGAAATTAAAAACTATTCTTGAGTAGTTTCTGGAGTATATTTTGGAGTAGACCCAAAGTTCTTTCTGAAGAAACTCCTAAAGTCCTGGTTTTTCTCATAGAAAGAGAATGTAAATTGGACATTTGTTCATCTAATGTCAAGCCTATCCTCTCCTTTTTTGGTTCCCACCCACTCATTTGGTTCTTCTATCTACACTAAACAAGCAATGTTACAGATAAGGCTAAGGTTACCAGGCCCCAGAGAATATAATGCCTAAATTTGATATCCAGCTCCTATTAAAAAAAAACAAAAACCTGAGAAATGTATGTTTTACTTAACTAGTGATAAAAAATATCTTAAAACAGCTTGATACCATTTTTTCCAGATTAAGTAGTAAATCTTTTCAAAAGTACAATATCTAATAACATATAAATTAGTACCCGTTTTAAAAAGTAATTGGGTACCTTATTCACTGGTGGTGGGAATGTGAAGTGGCAAAGCCACTATGGAAAACACGGGTGGGGTCCCTCGGCCTGGCCGGCGATCAGGGCCATGGGGGCCGTCTCACCTAGTCCCCATTGGGGCTGATCGGGGCCAGCCAACCAGGAGCAGGGACCACGGGACGCTGGACAGCCACGGGAGGTTGGCTGTGGGAGAGCACTGACCACCAGGGGGCAGCTTCTGCATTAAGCGTTTGCCCCCTGGTGGTCAGTGTGCATCATAGCGACCAGTTGTAAAGGTCACTAGGCTTTTATATATATAGATGTCAGCCCAATACATTTTTTAAATAGGAATAGATTGTGCCCTATTATTACAACTATGTAAAAAGATGCCTAAAAAAGAATGCCTACTAAGGGAAACTCAAAATCATTAATAATAGTTCTATTGGTGAGGGGTGGGGATACACATATAATCCCACACCCTATTTTCAAAGGTGGTTGTTGTATTACTTTTCAAAATAAAATTTAAAAGAGCATAAAGTACATATATTACCTTAGCTGGTTTGGCTCAGTGGATAGAACAACAGCCTGCAGACTGAGGGGTCCAGGAATTGATTCCAATCAAGGGCACATGCCCAGGATGTGGGCTCAATCCTCAGTAGGGGGCATGCAGGAGGTAGCCAATCAATGATTCTCTCTCATCATGGATGTCTCTATCTCTCTCCCCCTCCCTTCCTCTCTGAAATCAATAAAAATACGCTTAAAAATAAAGTACATATATTTAAAAGAGTGCCTTTATGTTTGAGAAAGGTTTCATAAGTCTCTTTAATTTACAGTCACATTCACATGGCAACGGAATATTTAACCCCATAAGGTTTATATAGCTTTTTCTTTTTTGGAAGGCTATGTAGCAAAATGAAAAAAAATTTTGATATAAAATATAACTGTTTTAAGTAGTATACAAATGAATATCCTAGAATAACCCTAGAATATGTATATTATAATTATAATAACCCTAGAATATGTATATTATAATTATAACAATATAATAACATGCAGATAAAATTTTAAAAAGTAATAATGGTAGGATTATGGGTTTCTGGATAGTTTTTAAACTTTCAGCAACATACTAGTAAATATATATTATATATACACATATATGTATGTGTGTGTGTGTGTGTGTGTGTGTGTATCCAGATTATTATGACCACCCCATCAGTACTTCATTGACACTTCCAAAAATACTGACTGAATATCGAAAACTTCCTAAGCAAATACTCTCAAGGTTTTCTTCTTATTATTATTTGCATAACTAATTCACTTCATTGTACTGATGGGGTGGTCATAATAATCTGGCCGGTCATAATAATCTGGCCACTCAGGATATATATATATATATATATATATATATATATTTTACAGGCCCGGTGCACAAAATTTGTGCACTGGAGGGTGGGGGTCCCTCAGCCCAGCCTGCCCCCTCTCACAGTCCGGGAGCCCTCAGGGGATGTCCTACTGATGGCATAGGCCCGCTCCCCAGCCGCAGATGCTCAGAGCAGGTGCCCTGTGTGTGTGTGTGTGTGTGTGTGTGTGTGTCCACTGGGGGCCTGCCCCCAGCCGTGTTGTAGGCTCAGAGCAGGTGCCTCGTGTGTGTGTATGTGTGTGTCCGCTGGGGGGTGAGGGGGTGGCGTGGTCAGGCTGGGCTCTGAGTAGTACCACCGCTGCTGCCACTGTCATTAGCGTCTGGGATGCAGGCATGGGTTGAAAAGACTGAACCACACCCCAGGCCTCTCTGACTCTGAGTTTGTTCATCTGGGAGTTGAAGCAGGAGGGACCGGGCCCCACACTCTAGGCCCTTCACAGAGACATCTTTTTTGCCCTCAGTAGTCTTCCCCTTTCCAGGCCTGAGGACAGCAGCATTCTTCTTGGTGGGTTTTTTTTTTTACCTTTTTTTTTTTTTTTTTAAGAATGTGGAGATTTCTAGAAAAGACAAAATTACAGAGACAGAAAGCAGACCTGTGGTTGCCTGGGGCTGGGTGGGGTTGACTGCATATGGGCAAACAGCGTGATGGAAGCTTGAAAACGGTTTGTGTCGGTGGTTGAGCTGCTGTGGAAATTCATGCATCAAACAGTATGCCTGCTGTGGGTGAGTTATATGGCATGTAAGTGCCTTTTCAAGAAAGCTGTATAAAGGCATACATCTAAAAGGGAACCCTCTTTGCCCTAACCGGTTTGGCTCAGTGGACAGAGCGTCAGCCTGCGGACTGAAAGGTCCCAGGTTCGATTCTGGTCAAGGGCATGTGCCTTGGTTGCGGGCACATCCCCAGTAGGGAGTGTGCAGGAGGCAGCTGATCGATGTTTCTCTCTCATCGATGTTTCTAACTCTCTATCCCTCTCCCTTCCTCTCTGTAAAAAATCAATAAAATATATATTTTAAAAGGGAACCCTCTTAAAACCACAGTTGGTGAGGGATTACCACCTTCTAGGAACTTGATAGAAAGTGTTCAGGTCAATGGTTGTGAACTTGAAGAAGAGTGGAGAGGGTGCTGACTTGGAAGCTTTATGTGACCTGGGCAGGACTAAACTCTGTCTGGGTTCTTTTCCCCTGCCTGTGCCTTCCCGATTTGATCCCCTCGGGGGGGGGGGGGGGGGAGGGAGAGAGAGAGAGAGAGAGAGAGAGAGAGATTTTTAGAAAGAGGAAGGGAGGGAGAGAAAGAGAAAAAAAAACATCGATAGGTTGCCTCCCAAACACACCCAGACTGGGGATCTAACTTGCAACCTGGGCATGTGCCCTGAACAAAAATAGAACTTGCAACCTTTTGGTATACGGGACAACACTCCAACCAACTGAGCCACACCGGCCAGGGCTAAAATATATTTTTAACTGAATTGGAATGAAACAGTAACCAATTTGTCTATCTATACTAATAAAAGGGTAATATGCTAATTAGGGCGGATGTCTTCCGGATGTCCATTCAGACATTCATCTGGACAAAGCCACAGTGGCTGCAAGGCCTGGGGCTCATGGCAGCCGTGGCCGTGGGCTCAGGCAGCCATGTGCCCTGGCAGTTGCGAGGCTCGGGGCTCAGGCCTCGCAGCCGCCACAGTGGCAGCAGCAGCAGGGTGATGGGGGCAGCGCCTTCCCTGATCAGCCTGGTCACCTCCCCCAGAGGGAGGCCAGACTGTGGCTTAGGCCCGCTCCCCGGGGGAAGCGGGCCTAAGCTGTCAATAGGACATCCCCTGAGGGCTCCCGGACTGTGAGAGGGGGCAGGCTGGGCTGAAGGACCCCTCCCCTCCAGTGCATGAATTTTTGTGCACTGGGCCTCTAGTATCCTTATTAATAAAAGCCTAAGTAGTTGTCACGCCGTGATGCCCTCATGCCATCACAAGATGGCTGCATGCAAAGTGGGCATGCACAGGCAGGCGGGGCTGGGCTTGACGCTGCATGTGTGGCACGAAGCCTGCCTGGGAGTCCCACCTCCTCCCGGCTCTACACGGCGAGGCCTGCCTGAGGGTCCTGCCTCCTGGCTCCGCACAGCACGGAGGCAGAACCCCTGGCTCTGGCCTACCTCTTTGGGGCAATCCATCAAGGAGCCCCGGATGGGTGGGTGGGGCCTACCTCTTTGGGGTGACTGATCGTGGGGCTCCCGCACTGTGACAGGGCACAGGCCAGGCTGGGGGACCCCTTCGAGTGCACGAATTTTGTGCACCAGGCCTCTAGTATATATATAAAAGCCTAAGCAACCATTAGGACTGGAATGACCAGTCGACCAGTCACTATGACGTGCACTGACCACCAGGGGGCAGATGCTCAACACAGGAGCTGCCCCCTGGTGGTCAGTGCGCTCCCACAGCCAACCTCCTGCAGCCAGGGCAGCATTGGCGTCCGGTGTCCGTTCCTTATGCCTGGCCTGGTGACCATCGCCTCCTCTCCCAACCCCACTGGGGCCTTTGGGCCCCAGGCTGGGACGGGGAACCGGGGGTGGGTGGTGGTGGACGCAGCCCCTTTCCCAGAGGGGCCGAGGGCCTGCTCCCTCCTTGGGGCCGGCGGCCAAGCTCCCACGCCCCGTCCCTCCCCCCAGCTGGCAGGCCCCGATTGGCTCACCACCCACCTCCTGTGGTGGTGGTGAGGTGGCGAAGGAAGGAGGAGTTGGGGAGGCGGGGAACCATGCGGTGGCGGGGCACCAGCATCCGTTCCTTCCACACCCTGCCCAGTGACCCGTTGCCTTCTCCCCGGGGCCCGGGCTGGGACAGGGAGCTGGGGGTGGATGGCAGTGGACGTGGCCCCTATCCCATGGGGGCTGAGAGCCGGCTGCCTCCTCGGGGCCAGTGGCCAACCCCCTGTGCCCTGTCCCTTCCCCCGGCCCGCAGGCCCTAATCGGTCCTGATCACCAGCCAGGCCTAGTGACCCCACCCGTGCACCGGGCCTCTAGTCCTATCTAATAAAGACAGAATATGCAAATTAACCATAACTTTGCGACAAAGGTGGCAGCGCCCACAGCCAATAAGGAGGGAATATGCACATTGACGCGACAAGGCGAGAGGTGGAAAGGCGGCTCTGGGCCGGATTGAAGGCGGAAAGGCAACTCCGACCGGAGCAAAGGCGGTGCCAGCAGCCAGGGGAAGGAAGGCCTATTCTTGCATGAATCTTCGTGCATCGGGCCTCTAGTCTTTACATAATGTTTAGATTGTTGAGACAACTAAAGTGGGACATCTCATAGCTGTTACATGGGAATGCAGTCACAATGATTTATTCTCCATCAATATCAAACTGAAAGTAAATTCTGAAAATTTTCTACATACCTGATGTGTGTTGAGTGAAGGAGTCTTTCTAGTGGTTCATGTTTAGAACTATAGAGGAGCGACTTAGGATTGGTGATAAGTATCACAGGCCACTCGCCAAAGATCAAATCTGAAAAGCTAAAGAGGTCATGATCAAAAGCAAAGATGCGGTACCTAGAGACCAGAGAACGATGAGGCAATTAGTCACTTCACATTTTAAGAGGCATGAAGGTTATATACCGAACAAACGTAAAAATATAAAAGTATACTTTTTGAGATCATGAATTTGAATGCAGAGTCAATAATATTGTTTTTCTGTCTTCTTCTCTGGCCCCTATCACTTTATACTTCACATTTGTCACAACAACTGGGATCTGACTGAAGCCATGAATTTAACTGTGCCTTGATAAATGTCTAGTACATAGCATGCACTCTTTAATTTTTAAATAAATGCTTGTTGAATTAATTCATTTTGAACCTGAGATATTCATCTTAAGCCTAATATCTGACATTCTTCACACCATCAGCAATGCTACATAAAATATTAAAATAAACAATTAGAAACCTTTCACTTGTCTTTTAAATCTTTATTTCTATCATTTCAAAGAAATTAACAAAAGTTAAGTTGTCTTGATTTTCTAACTGCACAATGAAAGTTATAGAAAAACCAGTTTTGCCCTAGCTGGTTTGTTTCAGTGGATAGAGCATCAGCCCGTGGACCAAAGGGTCCTGAGTTCAATTCTGGTCAAAGGCATGTACCTTGGCTGCAGGCCCAATCCCCGGCCCCTGGATGGGGTAAGTGCAGGGGGCAAGCAAACGATGTGTCTCTCTCACATTGATGTTTCTCTCTCTTAGTCTCTCTCCCTTCCTTCCACTGTCTCTAAAAATCAATGAAAAAATATCCTCGGGTGAGGATTAACAACAACAACACAAAGGAATAACCAGTTTTGCATTTTCTAACTTTGAGAACTGAGAAATAATTAACTATGGCAGAAACATGAGTGTTCACCAAATACTCCCTGTGCTCCCCTGCATTTCCCAGAGTCCCTGGTACTAGGTTGGGACCATGTGACTAGTTCTGACCAATGGGCTGTGAACAGAAGTGACACATATCACACTTCTGGTCCAAAGTACTGGAACTGAGGTGTTGAAATAGTGGCCTTTTAAGATGGAGGAAGTCTGAATCCCTGTCACCCTCGAGAAGAGAGTTTGCCTGACTCATACCAGCTTTACATAAAAGAAAAAATAGACATCTGTTGTGTTAAGCCACACATTTATTTGCATCTACGACAAAGCCTGGCCTAATATTACTAGTATACTATTTTTTAAAACTATTTTACTAGTACAATTTAAATGTTTAGTAAGGGCAGGTAAAAGTTAGGTACTTTCAGTAAAACTCCAAATAAAACCCCAGGGTTAGAACAAGGAGAACAGGTGAGAAGAGAGAAAAAAGTTTCATAATTAATATCACTTAAATAAAGAGGCCGATCAAGGATTAGGAACAAGGCAGTTCCAGCCCAGCCCACAGCCTTTCAGTCATGAAAAGACAGGTCTTATAAGGCTCAAAGTAATTACAGTAGCCAGTAGCCAACTAATTACAGGCTTCAAGCGTAGCTCTTACCCAGATTCTACAAAACCAACTAAAATGAGTAAGTACCACCTACAATGTAAAGCTGCTTTTTAATTAATGGAGATAGTTAAAAATGGAAAGAAAACATACTCAGCTCAGCAAATATTTATTGGATACCTAATATCTTCAGAGCACTGAGTCTTAATAAACAGCAATTGGTAATAGTTAAACAATGAAGTGATACTCATCGATACTTAAACTGGTGCACTTAAATGTTATTATCAAAGTTATAATATATTTAGTTCTCTTTCTATGTTTAATTATACTGTATGCTTTTGATAAGTTATGTTTCTTCTTAGGAAGACATTAACCTTAACAAAACCAATTATCATCTATTTGAAGAACTTAAATCACTAACATCTTATAGCAATAACTAGAAATGTAGATATAAAATTCAGGGGAGCCCTGGCCAGTGTGGCTCAGTTGGATGGGCATTATCCCATGCACTGAAAGGTTACCCATTCGATTCCTGGTCAGGACACATGCTGGAGTTTTGGATTCAATCCCAGGTAGGGGGTTTACAGGAGGCAGCCGATCTGTTTTGCTCTCACGTAGGTGTTTCTCTTTCTCTCTCAACTTTCCTCTCTCTCTAAAAATCAATTAAAAATAAAAATTAATAATTAAATTAAAGCCCAGCCAGCGTGGTTCAGTGGTTATCGTTTATGAACCAGGAGGTCACGGATGATTCCCGGTCAGGGCACATGCCTGGGTTGCGGCTCCCTCACAGTGTGGGGCATGCAGCAGGCAGCCAATCAATGATTCTCTCTCATCTTTGATGTTCTATCTCCCTCTCCCTTTCCTTTACTCTGAAATCAATAAAAAATACATATATTAAAAAAATTAAATAAAATTCAAAAGAGAAAATGACATATTTCTAGTCATAGTGCTTTTCTTTCTCTCTTTTAAAATTTTGATTTTATGTATTAATTGGTTGCTTCTTGTATGTACCCTGATTGGAGATCGAATCCACAACCTTGGCATATCAGGATGATGCTCTAACCAATTGAACTACCCCACCAGAGCTGGTCCTAGTGTTTCTCAAAGTTTAGTCCATAGAGTGCCTGGTATGCTTTTATTTATTTATTTATTTTTAAGTAACATATTTTTGCTCAACAGTAAATTTATTTATTTACTTTTATATATTTTTATTGATTTCAGAGAGGAAGGGAGAGGGAGAGAAAGATAGAAACATCTGGGGATCGAGCCCGAAACCCAGGCATGTGCCCTTGACTAGAATCAAACCCAGGACCCTTCAGTCCGCAGGCCAACGCTCTATCCACTGAGTCAAACCAGCTAGGGCCCTGGTATGTTTTTAAAATATGCATTTTCTTGGGTCCTAACCCAGACCAACATAATCAAAATCTCTAGAGGTAGAGCCTAGAAAGTTTTATCTATATATATAAAAAGCCAGAGACTGTAACACCGTCACAACCATAACGACCTAATGACCAGTCGCTGACACCCACTGTGGCCAGCGAATCAGCCTGATCTGGGCTGGATCACCCCCAACATCCCCATCAGGGCGGGGCCAGCCAGTCAACAGCCTTGGCTGGCAGAAATTTGGGGTCCGGAGACCTTGGAGTTGCTCGGTCTCAGTCTCGGGCAGCTGCACGGGTAAAGCTCTCCTTTGGCAGAAGTGGACCCGGGATCAGGGCGCTGGAATCAGGGATGGGGTGGGAGGCTTTCCTGGTGACCATAGCAGTCCCCGCAGGCCGCGCACAGCACCTGGGTGTCTGGTTCGGTCGGAACAGCGGCAGCGGCACATAGGAACCAGGAGGTGCGAGGCCGGGACGTGGGCTCTTACCCCGCCCGCTGGGCCCAGCAGCACCAGCAGGTGGGCCATGATGTGCAGTGAGGCGCTGGGCGGCAGACAGGAGGGGAAGTGAGCCAGGAGGGCAAAGGCCCGCACAAGACAGAGCCCCGAGCAGCGTGGGCAGGGCTGGAGCTGGAAACCCTGGCGAGGTGGGCGGGGCTGCAGCCCCACGCCTTTTCGGCCTTGGCCTTGGAATTCAGAGGTCAGCCACACTTCAAGAGAGAGGATGTGGTGGAAAGTGGCAAGGTGACAGAAGGGATGGGAAATGTTGTGGCCATCTTCGGGAAACAGCTGCCATGGTCTTCAGTAACTATGAACAGATAATCTTTGGTCTCGGTTCTACAGAAGAGGAAGCTGAGACTCAAAGTAGGGAGCCTTCCGCAACACCTCACCCACTTCTCAGACCTGACCCTGTGTAGCATTGTTTTTGTTGAAAGGAGAGGATCCAAGATGTTTTTCGATCTTTACTATTTTAGGCAGGAAAGAATTTAGCACAGGGAATTGGTGCTTGGGAAATCATCGGAAAGCTGGAGGAGTGGGTATTAGTTTGGGCCCCAGGAAAGACTCCCTGCCCAGTGGGAGGAGCTACCCCTCAGCCACAACTGAATTCTAGGACACTTTGACACAGCTGTGACCCAGGGATCAGGAAACTGCTGCCCCCGCAAGTGCCCTCCAGCTCCCACAAAACAGGTCACGGGGCACTGCCTCTGCCACAACTGCTTGTGCACAGCCTGGATTCCGCTGCAGAAAACCTCCACATCTCTGCAAACATGGTCACCAGCAGCAAACAGCCCAAACTGCGGAAAGATGCTTCTGCCCCACTTCTGCCTTCAAAATATTGTGCAAGCACATCCAATCGGCAGATAGGAATTCATATCCAGAAACCTAGCTGCAGAGGAGTTTGGGCAATTTCAGACTTTCGTCTAGGAGTGAGATCTTGCCCATGTACTTCATGTGCCTGGTATTGATAAAAATGGGGCCTGGCAGGTGGGGCTCAGTGGTTGAGCATCGATCTATGAACCAGGAGGTCACGATATGATTCCTGGTCAAATTTTGGGCTTGATCCTCAGTAGGGGTGTGCAGGAGGCAGCTGATCAATGATTCTCATCATTGATGTTTCTACCTATCTCTCCTTCTCCCTTCCTCTGAAATCAATTTTTTTCAAATGGGGTCATACTGTATATATGTGTTATAACAAGTTTTTTTTTTAAATATATTTTATTGATTTTTTACAGAGAGGAAGGGAGAGAGATAGAGAGTTAGAAACATCGATGAGAGAGAAACATCGATCAGCTGCCTCCTGCACATCTCCTACTGGGGATGTGCCCGCAACCCAGGTACATGCCCTCGACCGGAATCGAACCTGGTACCTTTCAGTCCGCAGGCCGACGCTCTATCCACTGAGCCAAACCGGTTCCGGCAACAAGTTTTCACTTCATAGATCACTAATGTCTTTTCTGTTAAAACTATACTTAGAGAACATTATTTATCATTCATTTTAATTGATCTCAGAGAGAAGGGAGAGAGAAACATTGTTCCATTGTTTCCTGCACTCACTGGACTGGGTATTGAATCTGCAACCTGGGCATGTGCCCTGACTGGCAATGGATCCTCCACTTTCTGGTGTATGGGACGATGCTATGCTGGTAACCTGACCCCAAATTCCAGACTCCAGAACTGTGAGAAAAATACATTTCTGTTGTTTAAGCCACACAAACTTATGATATTTTGTTTTGGCTGTCTGAGCTGACTAATGTATACTAATAAAAGGGTAATATGCTAATTAGACCAGGTCAACTGGACATCTTCTGGCTGTCCTTCCGGACAAAGCCACGGTTGGCAGAGGCCGAGGCAGAGGCAGTTAGGGGCGATCAGGCAGGCAGGTGAGCAGTTAGGAGCCAGTGGTCCCAGATTGCGAGAGGGATATCTGACCGGCAGTTGGACATCCCTGAGGGGTCCTGGATTGGAGAGGATGCAGGCAGGCTGAGAGACCCTCCCACACCCGTGCATGAATTTCATGCATCGGACCTCTAGTTTTTAATAAGATCCTCCAGAATTCTTATGCATACTAGAGTTTGAGAACTATTTCCTAATGGATGTGTCTTGAAAACCCAACATAACATAGTGATAGCAAACATAACTGTTGTAAAAAGTTTTTGCACAACAAAAATTGCCAGGTACACAAATTACTTCAAAAACAGAAATATCACAAGTTTTTCCTTAATTGGGATTACCCACGATAGCATTAAGAAAGCTATTATTGCTTTAGCAAACTTAACACATTGTGGATGAATCACGAGAATTCTCGCTTCATATTACAGTGTTTTACAAAATATCATACTTTAAAAAGATATTAGCTTGTAAGAACATGTAATAAATAACTTCAAAATGCAATGGATAGTTAATTTTAAAGCATGCCTTAAACATTTATGTAAAACGTTTTTTGTCCTAGTTCAATAGAAACTTATCTGGCCACTGGGTAAAGCTAGTAATAAAACTACTGGTCCATAATGTGTTAACAGGTGTAAGTTTTATTCTGTGGGGAAACTACCCCTTACCTTCTGTTGTTCTTCCAGTCTCCCACCTCAAGTTCCAAAGTGCCCTGGTAGTGACGAGTGTGCAAAACAGGCATCAGTCCACCAAGTGTATGGAGGTGCCCACACAAATAAGCTGTAGCTGAACTAACCAATGAAAAATAAACGGAATAATGAATAAAAATAACTTGTGTGGCAAACTCATACAAATATTTCTTCAGAAAAGCAAGATAGGTAGAGCAATATAAAATAACTAAAAACAATTCATTTTCATTTTAGAAGCCTGCCTCACCTCATTATTGACCGAACTCCTGGTGATGGAGAAAGAATAGTAAATGTTGTATAGTGTCCAAACCAAATAGTGTGGTTGCTCTGATTACTTTCCTTTGACAATAATAAAAGCTCCTCCATCTGTTTCTAAAAAGGAAGAAAAATAGAAGAATCTTTTAATTAGGCTCAGGCTGAAATCTAATGTCAATAGATTAAACAACACCCTTCAGATATTATAATAAAAAGTGTATTATGTTTCGGGCTGACACCCTGCTAATTAATGACCTGTATGGACGTTTGTAAGTTTCTAACTGTTTTCACATATAATATAAACAGGGCAGATATTACCCCCATTTAATAGATGAGGGAACAAAAATAATCAACGTAACCTTACATAATTTTTAAAATTTATAAATTTCTTTATAAAAATAAAGAAACACTAACCTTTTCAGCCCTGTATACCACACTGCAATTAATAAAGAGGATACTGATACTAAAAAAAAATACATATTATGTCCATAGAAAGCCTTGTACCTGAATGTTTCTAACAGCTCTAGTCATAGTAGCCAAAAATTAGAAACCATCAACAAATTGCATATAGCCATACAACAGAATACTACGTGGCAATTTAAAAATAAAGAACTGGCCCTGGCCAGTTTGGCTCAGTGGATAGAGCGTCGGCCTGTGGACCAAAGGGTCCCAGGTTCAATTCTGGTCAACGGCACATACCTTGGCTGCAGGCTCCTCCCCGGCCTGGCCTCTGGTAGGGGTTCAGGAGGCAACCAATTGATGTGTTTCTCTAATATTGATGTTTCTCTCTGCCTTTCCCTCTCTCTTCTACTCTCCCTAAAAATCAATGGAAAATCGGGTGAGGATTAAAAAAAAAGAAGAACTGCCCTGGCCGGTGTGGCTCAGTTTGTTGAGCATCTTCAGTGCACCTAGAGGTTGCTAGTTTGATTCCCAGTCAGGGCATTTGCCCAGGTTTTGGGCTCAATCCCTGGTATGGAGTGTGCAGGAGGCAGCCGATTGATGTTTCTCTCTCTCTCTCTCTCTCTCTCTAAAGCCCTAGTTTTGCTCAGTGGATAGAGCATTGGCCCAAGGACTGAAGGGTCCCGGTTCAATCACCAGTCAACGGCATGTACCTCAGTTGCAGGCTCAATCCCCGGTTGGGAGATGTGCAGGAGGCAACCAATTGATGTGTCTCTCTCACATCAATGTTTTTCTCTCTCTCTGTCTCTCCCCCTCACTTCCACTCTCTCTAATAATCAATGGAAGAATATCCTCAAGTGACAATTAGAAAAAAAATCAATAAAAATGTACTTTTTAAACAGAAAGAACTGATACACACAATAATATGGGGTAAATCTCAGAAACATTATACTGAGCAAAAGAAGCCAAATACAAGAGTACATTCTGTATGATCTCGTTTATATAAAACTCTAGAACAAACAAAAGTAATCTATGCTGACAGAAAACCCTGAACAATTGTCCCCTGTAACTGGGGGTGGAGACTGACTTTACAAGATAATTTTCTGGGGTTCTTAGTTGTGGAGAGAGATACACACCAGTATAGACATTTATCAAAACTCTGCAAACAACCTGGCCAGCGTGGCTCAGTGATTGAAAGTCAACCTATGAACTGGGAGCTCACAGTTTGATTCTCAGTCAGGGCAGATGCCCAGGTTTTGGGCTCAGTCCCAGAAGGGGGCATGCAGGAGGCAGCCAATTAATAATTCTCTCATCATTGATGTTTCTCTCTCTCTCCCTTTCCCTTTCTGAAATCAATAAAAAATATATATACATATATTTTTAAACTCTTCAAACAGTTGAAATGAATGCATTTTATTATATGTAAATCATCCCTCAAGAAGTTGATTTCAAAAATAACTTGTACATACGTAAATATACATTAATATTATCTGTAAAGTGCTATTGGCAATAAATTCCTGGGCCCCACCCTAAGTGTTTCTAATTTGATACATTGCAAGTAAAGCCGGGAATATTCATTTTATAAGATTCCAGCCGATTTTTATGCAGATGACCCTTGAATCATACCTTAAAAAAACATTATTCTGAGGAATACATTTAAAAATAACACTTTAATCAACTCGGTCTAAAAACATTTGGTAGACAGGAAACAAAATACACCTACATTAAACAAAACGCCTAATATAACACAATGCATCAGACAATATTCTGTTCACTTGATTTCCAGCCCCTCTACACCCTCATATCACTTTGAATCTCTTGCAGCACTTAGCAAATTCAGCCTTTTATGAGTTATTTCTGCACTGGTCTTATGCCCCACCACTAGGTTAAATATCTTAAGGGGCCAGGAACTTGGCCATATCACCTTTGTATTCTTATACATGGACACATACGTACTGCATATGAGCATGTGCTCACTAAACATTTAACGAGTTGTTATTTGTTGTACCAAGAAATAATGAGAGGTTCTCAGATGTGACTTTCCAGTTTTAATCCAGCTTACAAAGAGTCTTCACCTAGCTTACAAAAAATTGTTTAAAAGGAACTTGTTTATTTCAATATAAATATTGAAAGAAAGAGATAGAGATAGAGATTGTGAGAGTGAGAGTGAGAGAGAGAGAGAGAGAGAGAGAGAGAGAGAGACCTGCAGGGATTTAGGAATATACCATATAGTATACAAAGCTGTATGCCCTGTACCTTGCTAAGTGCATCTTACACTTAGTACGTATTTAATAAATGTTTACTGAATAAATATAAGTATAAAATGTGAGGTACTTCTTTCCCAGATTGTGGGGCAAGAATAGGTATAGCAATAACAGTGCTGAAGTAGCCAATAATTTCTTCTGGCTATACCTGTAATCGCAGGAAACTTTTTTCTCAAGCATTTTTAGATAAGGACTTGTTTCCCTAGGATAATTTTAAGTGAGCCACATATATCTGAGAGAAGTAGGTTAGCTACAAAGAGAAGTGAGATTTTTACTGTACCTCATCTAAAATTCCAAAGAAATTATAGGGCCTCTTAGGCCCTGGGTTTAGGGTGGCATCCACAGAGATGAAAGAATAGTTTCCAAAGGGAGTACTGTGAACATAATGGAAAGAGCCATCCGTACGTATGGCAGAATATTTCCTAAAAAATACAAGACAGAAAAGTTTTAATGCAATCATAAAAAAACTGAATACGTTTAAATGCCCTAATATCACACTGTGGTTTGCCTCCCCTGATCTGACAGAGAAACAAACTGAACTAGATCCACAATGGATAAAGTGTAAAAGAAATTGTAAAGATTTTTATCCCATTGTCTCTAAAGACAGTAACCAACACACAAAGTTGCCAAGTAAAGCAGAGAAGTAGGGGGCGATTTTAAGCAGTCCACTAAACATTTAAAAAGAGATCAGTCAGAACCTAGTGAAATGGTACTTACCAATCATTAAAACTGTAGTGAATAAAATAAAAATAAAAGTTGCTAAAAAAAAAAAAAAACAACAACAAAAAAAAACAGTAGTGAAGTCCTACTAAGTACATAGTAGAATTCTTAGTGCAGTGAGATACAAAAGTGTTTATTTCTTAAAACAGGACTACAGAGGCTTAACTAGCGATAAAACCTTGTAAAGAAGTCATCAAACCAGGAGAAAAATGATAGTCTAGGTATGGGTCAGTAAACCTTTTTCAGTTCCTAAAAACATACTGATAACATTCACAGGGTCCATATCCGGTAATAAAAGTCCTCACCATCTTAAGTGTCAATAGTGTTCAGGTGTCCATAAAGTAGGAGAGTGCAGAGTAGAGAGAAAGGATGGGTAACATCGTACATAAAGTAGGCACTTGTTAAATATTTGTTAAATAAATGTAAGGAAAGTATAGATTACATTGGGGTATACCTATATTATTCAAATGTCAGAACATTGTAAGAAAATACCTAAGTGTCCTATATGACTTTTTACCTAAGAGCACATATGAAAAATACAAATAAACTTCTGAAACTTAATGTGCCATCAGGGAGCTAAATTTAAGCCACAACAGCCATCAACTATATCATAATTTATCATACATATTACAGTTAATAGTCAATTCTATTGCCTCTCTTCTTGGTATTTTTAAAATTTTCATTTCAGGGCTTCTTCCTCATTAAAAAGTTTATTTATATTTTTCCTGCTCAATATGTTTTCAGAGTTATTCTTCAGGATTTTATAATCTCATATGTTGTTTATATTGCTATATTTTTGACACGTTAAAATCCAACTATCAAAAAATAAATCCAACTATTTAAAGGGAGAGGTTAAAATATATGATAGTTAATAACATTTTTTGAATTCTGGATTTTGGCATTCACTGGGGCACTCTTTTTTAAATTATTTTCTTATTTTTTTGTTGACAGTATTACAGATGTCTCCCATTTTTTTCCCCTTTACCCACCTCTGCCTAACGCCTACTTTCTCCCCTCCCCCCCTCCCCACAAGTCTTCACCACCCTATTGTTTGTGTCCATGGACTATGCATATAAGTGTTTTGGTTTCTCGCTCCTCCTCCCTGCAACCCCACATCGAGGTAAGTCAGTCTGTTCATGCTTCCATGCTTTGGGTCTTATTTTGTTGGTCAATTCCTTTTGTTCATTAGATTCCACAAGTAAATGATATCATGTGATATTTGTCTTTCTCTGATTGGCTTATTTCACTTAGCATAATAGTCTCCAGGTCCATCCATGCTGTCTCAAAGGGTAAAGGGCCCCTCTTTTTTTACAGCTGTATAGCATTCCATTGTGTAAATGTACCACAGCTTTTTTACCCATTCATCTATTGATGGGCACTTGGTCTATTTCCACATCTTAGCTATTGTAAATAATGCTTCTATGAACATAGGGGTGCACATATTCTTTCTGATTAGTGTTTCCGAGTTTTTAGGATATATTCCCTGAGGTGGGATCACTGGGTCAAATGACAGTTCCATTTTTAATTTTTTGAGAAAACTTCGTACTGTTATCCATAGTGCATTCCCATTAGCAGTGAACTAGTGTTCCCTTTTCTCCACATCCTCTGGGGCATTCTTAAGCTCAAGATTTAACTTGAAGATTTCTTTCCTTCAGGTTGATATTTCTGTGATAGATAGATAGATAAATAGATAGACAGATAGATATGTAGATAGATATGTAGATATATGCTATTTATTAAACTCAGATAGGTTAGGCAGTTAGGAACAAAAATCTATATATATAAAAGCCCAAGCGACCGTCACAACCGAAACAACAGAAAGGATGACCGAACAGGCTGCGTGGGGCGACCAGGCTGGCAGGGGGGTTAGTGACAGATGACCAAATGACTGAGCAGCAGGCTGTGTGGGGCGACCAGGCCGGCAGGGGGGGCAGTGAGGGGTGACCAGGCTGGCGGGGGGTGGGGGGAAAGTTGGGGGCGACCAGGCCAGCAGGGGGGCAGTTGGGGTGACCAGGCCAGCAGGGGGGGGCAGTTAAGGGGGACCAGACAGGCAGTCAGACATCTCCCGAGGGGTCTCAGATTGGAGAGGGTATAAGCTGGGCCTAGGGAACCCCTCCTCTCTCCCCCCTCGTGCACGAGATATGTTGCACTGGGCTTCTAGTATATAGATAAGAAACTTTAAAGTGATTAAGATCTTTGTAATACTTTAAGAAATAAAAATTATTAAAATATTAAAAAAAAAAAAAAAGAAAATGTTTCTTAACTCCATTCCCATAGTCACAATCAAAGACACAGTTAATAGAAAGTGAAATATTTTCATCTCTGTCCTTTTCTTTTCTCACATTAACAAAAGAAGAATACCTCTTCTTCCAAGTTATGGGGACTAATTATATGGCAAGCAATTCTTTTTGACATATCATCCTCAAATTGATGCCACTATTCCCATATCCAGGAACTTAGATAGGTTTGTCTTCTCAAGCCCTTTTCATACTATGACTGGACTACTGCAGGACTCTCCTATTTGGTATCCATACAGCTCCAGTCTCTCTCTCTCTCTCTCTTTTTTTTTATCCGTATCTTTTTGTTGTTGTTGTTGTGCAATTGTCTTTATAAAATACTATTTTCATTATGTTACTTGTCTTCTTAGGAACCAAACTGGATTATGAACTATTACTCATCCCATCTAAATCTCTATGCTTCTCACTTAAGACTTCCATTAAATTGGTCCCAAGACACCAGTCCTCATTATGAACCCTAATTTTGGTGATAACCAGTTTCCTTACTGCCCCTAAAAGTTCATTCTAGCTTTTAAAGTTCAGAGAGTTCGCTTTATTTTGTTTTTGTTTGGGGGTTGGTTTTGTTGTTGTTGTTTTTGCCTAAAATATACCACTCAAAGTATCTTACTTTTTGAAATGCTACCCCTCTTTTAAGACTGAACACAGCCCAGCCAGTATGGCTCAGTGGTTGAGTGTCAATGTATGCACCAAGAGGTCACTGGTTCGATTCCCTGTCAGGGCACATGCCCAGATTGCGGGCTTGATACCCAGTAGGGAGTGTGCAGGAGGCAGCTGATCAATGCTTCTCTCTCATCGATGTTTTTATCTTTCTCCCTGCTCCCTCTACCCTCCTTTCTCTAAAAAAATCAATAAAAAATATTGAAAAATAAAAAAGGCTGGACACAATTTTCACTTCTTTTCTAGTCTTCTTTAACTTACAACTAATAAATAAATAAGTTCTGAAGACCTAATGCACAGATAGTAATTATAGTCAACAATACTATAACTTCTAAGATGAAAAGAGACTAGATCTTAATTCTTCTCATCACACACACACACAAAAATTATGTGACGAGACAGAGGTATTAGCTATGGTGGTAATTATACTGCAATATATGAATATAACATATAAACATGCTGTATACCTTAAACTTACACAATACTATATGCCAATTAAATCCAAACTTAAAAAAAATTAAATTAAAAATAAAGTCTTCTCTCTGTCCACTCCAAGCTGACCTCCGCCTTTTCTGATTTCTCAGAGTGATTACCATGTATAACAATCTAGCATTTCATCAACCATTCCTTCATGTTCTTTTCTAGTTGTTTCCTAAACAATTTTTATCACCTTAAGCTAGATAGACTTCCTTGAAGGTATAGACTATATTTTTTAATACTAACTTTTTTTATTTTGTAGGTGACCAGTTTAATAAGTGAACTTACATACAAGGGTTGTTTAGGTGGCTGTATGACCGGTGGATCTACACCCATCTGCTGGAATCTTAAACATTTATACAGAAGCCTTACAAATATTAACTCTTGTATCTCTCATACTATCTAACCGATGAAGGGCTCTCAATAAATATCTGCTACTTGACTGACAATGCAGAAATACTGTGAAATTATAATCAAAAGAAGAATCTTAACACATTGAGATTACAGAATCAGTTTTCTAACTCAAGATCCTTTCACATTCACAATCTTTTTCATATTCATGGCACATAAAGAAAACTTTAATATTTGTGTGACATTCTGGAATGAAAGGATAAAGCAGCCAGAGGTGACCAAATGGGCACTTCAGCCACCCTAGCGGGTGAGAAAATCAATATCTCAGCATTCCTAAAACCTTTAGTATTCTAGTTGACAAGCTATGATCTAAATGACTTCTGCTATGCATCAATGACAATAAATAAATAAATAAATAAATAAATGTCTATGTGGAATATTACAAGTACCATTACCCAAGAAAAAGCATGAAAGCACATGGAATAAAAAGAATTAAAAGAAAAAGTTCCAAAACAAAAACAAAAAATTGAATGTCATACACATTAAAAAAAAAAAAAAAAAGTTTCCTTTTCTAAATTACCAGTTTCTGTAAATAGAAATTTATCTGTTAAAAAATGTTTTCACCCATTCATTGACTGTACCCTTCTTGTAACACATGATGGTCTGTCTTCTGTTCATTACAGTACCTGTAATAATTCTCGACGCTCTCCAGACTTGGAACATTGAATGAATCTAATTAAAAAGAAAAGAGCAAACATCACCTATATTAAAAAGAAAAATGCACCCTGGCCAGTGTGGCTCAGTTGTTTGGGCATTATCCCATGCACCAAAGGTTGCTGGTTCAATTCCTAGTCAGGGCACATGCCTGAGTTGTGGGCTCGATCCCTAGTGGGAGGATGTGGGAGGCAGCCAATCAATGTCCCACTCTCACATCGATGTTTCTCTTTCTCGCTCTCTCGCCCTTCCTCTCTTTCTGAAAATCAGTAGAAATATTTTTTTTAAAAAGTGCAAACATGTTAATGACTAAAGAAAAATTAGAATTCTTTCAATAACAATTTAAATGGTAGAATGCCAATAAATTAGATTGATAATTTTTAAAATTTGAAAATAGAATTCAGATTATCTGGAAACTTGTTTAAGGCATCTAGTATACTGGAGAATAATAAATACTTTGAATTATGTACTATTTAGAATACACATCAATTTGAAAGTACAAGACTGGATGGTTATTGCTGTTGTTTTGTGTGTGTTTTTAAAAATATATTTTATTGATTTTTTACAGAGAGGAAGGGAGAGGGATAGAGAGTTAGAAACATCGATGAGAGAGAAACATCGATCAGCTGCCTCCTGCACAACCCCTGCTGGGGATGTGGTCGAAACCAAGGTACATGCCCTTGACTGGAATTGAACCCAGGACCCTTCAGTTCATAGGCCGATGCTCTATCCACTGAGCCAAACCGGTCAGGGCTATTGCTGTTGTTTTAATCATGTGATTCTGGAAGCCAGCAAGGACTGGATTGACGCCTGATATATGGATACATACCAAGTGCCTCTAAAAAACAGATTACTTTGATAATAGCCCCTCTCCTCTTAAATCTTAAAGAAGATTCAGTAAGAAAGGAATTACATAATGGTAAGGGTTAAGGTTCAGGATGTCATAGAATAGTTATCTGGAAATACAGTGATTTCATAGTTTGGCAGACTGATTGCAACAGCTGAAACTGCTTCAATTCCAGGAATCCACTACATTTCTAATAACCTTAGAAATTAATCTGTAAGTCCATTCTAGCCCCAAAGAAATATAATGTATATGTAACTTCTTGCTTAGTAAGAGAAAAATTGTTATAAATTTTAGTAAAGATTAGTTTCTCCTCCTATGATAGCACAGCATGTATATATATGCTCATACCATAAACATTTATGCCTATTCAAGTTAAGTTAGATTTTTATGAACTCCGAGGACTATGCAGATTATTTAAACACAGGAGTCTATTTGATATATCTTACTTGAAATAAGTCAGCACCTTGGCTTGGAAAACTTTTTAAAAAAATACACATATTTATTATTTATTGCAAAAGAATTTGACCCGTACCACTAATTAGGATCAGGGAAAAGGGGAAATGTAAATATAGCAGAGAAAGTTGTAAGCCAGATATCCTATTTTCAATTTATAATTCATAGTTGCTTTGTAAGAAGGCATCTTTTAATCAAACCAAGAGCTGTATATTTCACCAGATAGACTTATCTGCTTAAAATAGTAGAGTTTTTAAAAATATAATTAGGTACTTACCACTAATGAATAATCAAATGAAGCAGACAAATTAAGTAACTAACCAGTAAGAAAGTCAACCTTTATAAAACCAGCAAATCTACTACCATCATGATACTTTTGGAGAAGAGTTCATTTCCTTACTATTACAACAATGATCATCTAAAAACAGAAAGGGATTATCCATTTCTCTCCTCATGCTGATGGGGATTTATTTGCAATTTCAATTTATACACAGTAAAATTCATTCTTTGTGATGTACAGTTCTATGGATTTTGAGAAATGCACAGTAATATATGTACCACCACAATCAACATACAGAACAGTTCCACTACCCACCAAAATTCTCTCTTGATGCCTCTTTATAGTCAACCTTCTCCCCATTCCCATCCTCCTGGCAACTGCAATCTGTTATCTACCCATAGTTTTGCCTTTTCTTGAATGTCATAAAACTGGAATCATACAGTATATAGACTGAGAAGTTTGGCTTCTTTCACCTTGAAAAATGCATATTTTTTTAAATATTCACCTGCATGGGTTTTGCTAGAAGCTTTTCTTCCATGTAAAGAAGAAAGGACCATACCAACTTTCCCCTCTAAGGTCAACATTGACATCTGTAGTTTTATTTATTTATTTATTTTAAAAAATATATTTTATTGGTTTTTTTACAGAGAGGAAGGGAGAGGGATAGAGAGCCAGAAAGATCGATGAGAGAGAAATATCGATCAGCTGCCTCCTGCACACTCCCTACTGGGGATGTGCCCGCAACCGAGGTACATGCCCTTGACCGGAATCGAACCTGGGACCCTTGAGTCCACAGGCTGATGCTCTATCCACTGAGCCAAACCAATTAGGGACATCTGTAGTTTTATATTTACTTATTTTTTAAATATATTTTTATTGATTTCAGAGAGCAAAGGAGAAAAAGATTAATGATGAGAGAGAATCACTGATCAGCTACAGCCTGCATGTCCACACTGGGGATCAAGCCCGCAACCTGGGCATATGCCCTGATGGGGAATCGAACCATGACCTCCTGGTTCATAGGTCGACGCTCAACAATTGAGCCACACTGGCCAGGTGACACCTGTAGTTTTAAAATCACATATCAGAGTTGTATTTTCAGAATTGTCGCCTTTAGTATCTCTAAACCTAGGTTACAATGTCCCATTTTATAATCTAAATGAAAGAATCTAGGCTCTTGGAGGAAATAAAAATATAGCCTTAATTATATGTGGGTCTTGACTCTTACCATGATTTCCTTTGACATCAAGCCATTTGGTTTTTTCCATGACCCTTGTCTTCTTCAGAATACTGTGGTAAGTTTGCCATTCTACCTTCTGCTGCATAGATCCCAACAGGTCCTTTGTTTTGGCATCTGTCAGATCTCCTGCAGATTTACATAAGAATTGAATCGCAATACAAAATAAACCCCAGAGGAGGTTCAAGGTTCAACTTATTTTAATGCACACTGAAGGAACAGATACTTAAAGTATTCCACATGCGTAAGCATAACCACTTTTGAGTCCATTCATTTGTTCCTTATAGCTTAGCAAATGCCTATTTAACCTCCTATATTAGAAATGGGTTGTGAAAAAATATATCTTTAAAGAGAGCATGGACTGACCAGTGTGGCTCAGTGGATTGAGCACTGACCATGCACCGAGAGGTTGCTGGTTCAATTCCCAGTCAGGGCACATGCTCGGGTTGCAGGCTGCATCACCCATAGGAGGCAGCCAATTGATATTTGATGTTTCTATCTTTCCCTCTCCTTTCTTCTCAATCTAAAGATCATTAAAAAAATAAAAAAAGAGAGCATGGGACCCTAACAAAAATTATAAGAAATTCCAACAGTCTGGGCAGGTGCCTAATGGCAACGGCTGTAATCTAACCAAGTATTATTTTTACAGCAAGAAGCAATCTGGAAGGTGTAGATTGGACAAAGAAATACCAAAATTTCTAGAAAACTAGACAGACCCTTGAAATAGAAGTTTGCCATAAGATGAGGACTACTATTCCATCATATCAGTAGAGGTGTTTCAGTAAGGGAGGTGGGATGAATCCCCTAGTAGACAAGATAGATGCTCCTTTAGCTTCTCCTCCAACATGGTTTGGGAGCAAATGGTTAGGGGTTTGAAAACTCTAGGGAACCCAAGTCTCAGAAGTACCAAGGGCTGAAGAAAAAGTAATTGAAATCCTGAGTAATTGAAGCCTCAAACAATTGACAATATAAGATTAACTGTAAAAAACATGGAAATATGAGTGCGTTTTGTTTTAAAGGTAACTTTTGAGTTGTGGTTAAAGGGCTTTCCCTAATCCTCTCTCAAATTCAGGAATGCAACATCAAAAACAGATACAAATACAGCAGACATTAAGATGAGGACAGAGTCCTGCTTCTACCGCTTTAACAAAACCTTGCTATGACAAATCTTTTATCCTGGATCTTGATTCAGTTATCCACAGGCAAATGGAATTATAACGTGTTATCTCCTCTACAGGAGGAGGGCTCGCCTGGGGCTGGGGCTATAGTGTTTCCAATGTTCCCAAAGTGAAGGGCTGCAGCCCTGGCTATCATTCTACCTTCCGGACCACAGAACAACAGGATAGCACAGCAGCCTTCCCTACCTGTTGCTAGGACGAGAGCTGGTTGAATGATGTCAATAGTTTCAGAACAGAACTTTTCTAAGTCTGCAGCTCTGCCTGGGTCATGAAACCTGCTCAGGTGAAGGTCGGATATCTGCCGAAAGCAGGTATTAAACAGATATCTGAGTCAGGAAGAGGCAGCACGTACAGAGCGACCCAGCGGCTCTCTATGGGGGTAGGAAAAAGCAAAAATGCAGTGCAACAGAGAACCCACCCCCGCCAGGGAAGGACCGAGGCGCCCCCCCACCCCCACCCCCGCCCAGGGTTTGGGGCCTGAATGGGCACGGGTGGGCACGGGTCCTGCCCCCGCGGAAACTGCCAGCGTCTCACCGAGTCCTGCCAGCTCTGCACCCGGCCCTCCCCCCAGCCCCCCGCCCCGGCCAGGCTCCCCCAGCGTCACCTGCAGACCCCAGAAGATGTTGCTGGCCCCGGGGCCCGGCGCAGGGTGCGGCCTCCTGGGGACGCGGGTCTGGGGCAGCGGCGAGGTCTGTCCCGCCAGGCCGTAGTGCTCCAGGAGCACGGCCGTCAGCGCCGCGGCCACCAGGCCCGCCAGCACCCGGAAGGCCAAGCGGCTGCAGCCATCCTGCC